TGCCACACCTGTGGGCTTGATCCAGAGTGGTGCTGCCTGTATCCACAAGACACACTCAGCCTGGCTCCAAGTCCCTGGTCAATGGCTTGGATTGACAGCAGCGGAAGCCAATGGCTAACACTGCCTCAGCAAAGCCTGTGAAACCAGAAAGCGAGGGGAGAAAACCACTGCAGACAGGCACAGTGATGGATCGAGTGAGGTAAGCATTGGGGGATGAGGGGGCAATAATTTTATCCAAACATTCTTTAACTTAAAAGCAATGTTTTGGCATTAGAATCACTTTAGGAAAATTACAGTTAATATTAATTGTGCCTGTGTGAATGACATTTGCACTGCAAATATTTTTATACATAGACCCGTTAGTCCCTTGGTCCCTTTTTGTTCTGTTAAAACTGAAATATAGGTAGATTTAAAAAAAGATACTGTTGGAATACAGTGTTTATGTATTTTGTGCAGCAAGGACATCAGTATTCAGTAGAGATATATTCTTCAACCAGTAGATGGCAGTGTTTATATGTTTGTAGCTGCATCTATGGTACTGTATACTCTAGGACTCTAAACTAATGGACACAGAGCAGCAGCTCAGGGACGATCACGCAGTGGTGCCCCCAGGGCAAGCAGCTTTCCCTGGAGGCACTGCTTGAGGAGGAGGATCCAAGAGAGCTGGCAGGGCACCACCAAAAGAGAGGATTGGGGCTGCTCTGTGCAAAATCACTGCACAGAGCAGGTAAGTATAGACATGTTTGTTATTTAAAAAAAAAAAAACAAAGCTTTAGTGTTACGTTAACATAGAAAGCGTTAATAGTAATGGTGCCTCTGTCGCAGAGTCTCCTTACAGATGAAAAATAGGAACAAAAAAAAAACAGTAACATGCATCAAGAAGCATGTGAATCATTGTTAGGAAGCCAGCGGGTGCCAGCATCTTAACAACTGATGACTCATCCCTGCTGCTGACAGTAGGTATGAGTCACTCGTTGGGAAGTCGGTGGGTACCATCTTCTGGAAACACCAAAGCTCAAAAACACTTTAAAAATGTGCAAAAACTTGCATAAAAATAAATAAATAAATAATCACACAGCAATACACCTGAAAAAAAAAAAAAAAAAAAAAAAAAACATGCAAAAAATGAAAATGCCACTCAGGTGTGAATGCAGCCTTGCAGTTACTTTCATGGTTACTTCCACATTGAAAGTAAGTTGATTGGGGTTGTAGACTTTCCCTGCTAACCCACTAAGAAAAAGAAAAGAAATGAGGGAATATTTGTTTACTATTTTGCAAGCTTTTGGATTTGGTCCTACATTCCTTACACTACTACAGTCATTATACAACACTCCCTCACAGCTCAAGTGTCCATCAGAGGTTACAGATCCCCGGTGTTCCCAAATCGATGTGGCACCAGACAAGGTTGTCCACTCCCCCCACTTCGCTATGGCGATACGCTCTCACCCTGAAATGCACAAGGTCCACTGCGGTCATCAGGAACATAAATGCTATTTATTTGCTGACGGCGTTATGTATGTTACCTCCCCTCTGACTACCATACCTAATCTACTGTCTCTTTTGCGCCACTTCTCTGAACTTTCTGGGCTCTCTTTAAATTCCCAAAAAACAATAGCCTTTAATGTTTTGTTACCCTCTTCCATGGAACGACAGCTTAGGAATATATAGGACTTTCAATGGGCCCGCAGCTCTTTGCCCTATTTAAGGATTAACTTGACAGCTTCAATTGAGACCCTTTACCAAGCAAACTATCCCCCTCTTTTCAAACACCTTAAGGTAGATCCTCGTTGTTGGGCTGCTTACTGGATATCTTGGTTTGGCAGGATCAATTGTATTAAAAATTACAGATAAATATAAAGTTGTGCAGCGCTAAAGATTAAATATCCTCAAAATGGACATAAATAGATGATCTATATACAGTCAGTCTCTCTCTCTCTCTCTCTCTCCTCTCTATATCTATCAGTGACAACATATTTATTAGTGACAGTGTGGCGATCTGTCACAATGTGGAAAGGTTATTTCACCCAGAATTCTCAAGGCAAGGCAGATTGAGGGGCTCCGGGGTACGTGTTTGACACAGAGGAGAGTGGATTTTCACTTTCCTTATTTGTTTGTAAGGTCCATTTTGGGACCTGGAGATTTCAAAGCGATTTGGGAGGGATGAAATCTCCAATCCTGGGACCAGGTTTTGGGAATGGCCAGGACACTGATTGCACAGGTGTGTGCAGGCCTTTTCATAGAGGCCTACCCAGGGTTCTGAGCTCCACCTCGGCAGACTGAGTCAGGAGGGCTCCACCCTGGCAGACAGGAGGTCTCTGCCTTGGAGTCAGGAGGGCTTCACCAAGGAGAGGTGGAAGCCGGACTAGCTGTGTGCTAGTGGCCAGCTGTGTGCAAGAGCCATATTTTGGAAAGAGTCTGTAGGAGACAGACATAAAACGGTGTACAAGCCAGGAGGCTGAATTTTCATTTGCATGTGTTTGATGGTGGATACCCCTGCGTGGGAAGCTTTATGGAACATTTTCTTAAATAAAAGTGGGCTAAAAAGGCCCTAAAAAAGAAAGCTGTGTACATTTAACAAAGCCCTACCATTTGAAGCGAGCTCCCACAATATATATATATATATCTCCATCTCTATCTCATCAGGATAATAAATAATCGTGAATGTCCAAATATAAGTTATCACAGTTCAAACGAGTATCAGTGGTTTCAATAATTTCAATAGTGGTGACTCTAGTATTCGTGTAACGATCAAATATTCCGGTGAAGTGTGGGGTATAGATAAAATGCACACTCACCAGATGCGCATTTTAAAAGTGCAATGTATAAATAAGTGGTGATCTGCCAGAAATCCCTCTATGGTAGGATGGAATGCAGCCCGGGATGGATGGCCCTCATCTGGGATTGGGATGGTAGTCAGCAAGAGGTCCCCTTTAAGGATAAGTTGGAAGGTGGTGGTTTACCCTCTTCCGGATACTGGGATGGTCACCTAGGCATTCTGGGAAATTAAATTTTCAGGTGCAGAGCAAAAAGGGATATTGCCCATAGTGTAGTAATTTGAATCCAAGTTTAATTGTAATCAAGGTTAAAATGCCATAGGGTAAAATTACATACAGTGTCTTAGCAAATAATGCATGCAGCTTAAAGCTGCTGAGAACACTGACCAGCTGGTATTCCAATATGGCCGCCGGACCAACATGATCCGGCGGCGTGACGTCATGGCGTGCAGGCTCCTCCTTGATGCATTTCGTACAACTGGTGCCTGCTCACTCTCCGTTGGTCTCCGGCATAATGTAACTGTTTCAGACCAACGGAAATTGGCACGCCGCGTTCATGCTCATTTTCCATTGATCTCCGGCAAGATGGTGCCCGTTAATTGCGCACGCAATTTTGGGCTATATAAGGAGCATACCAGACATCAGGCGGCAATGGCACACCCCTTTTGAGAACATACAGTTGTACAAAACGCATCGAGGAGCCTGCACGCCATGACGTCATGCCGCTGGATCACGGAGGTCCGGCGGCCATATTGGAATACCAGCTGATCAGTTTTCTCAGCAGCTTTAAGCTGCATGCATTATTGGCTAAGCCACTGTATGTAATTTTACCCTATGGCATTTTAACCTTGATTACAATTAAACTTGGATTCAAATTACTACACTATGGGCAATATCCCTTTTTGCTCTGCACCGAGCATTTCATTTCCCAGAATACCTTGGTGACCATCCCAGAATCCGGAAGAGGGTAATCCACCACATTCCAACTTATCCTTAAAGGGGACATCTGGCTGACTACTATCCCAATCCCAGATGAGGACCATTCATCCAGGGCTGCATTCCATCCTACCAGAGGGATTTCTGGCAGATCACTGCTTATTTAGCATTTTATCTATACCCCGCACTTCACCGGAATATTTGATCGTGCACGGCTGCGAATACTAGAGTCACCATTATTGAAATTATTGAAACCACTGATACTCATTTGAACTGTGATAATTTATATTTGGACATTCACTATTATTTATTTATAATCCTGATTCACTAACACATACACATATATATTTTTTTCTTCTTATATTTGGATCATCGATTGATGTCCTTTTGTCCATTTTGAGGATATATAGTCTTTAGCCCTACACAACTTTATATTTATCTGTTGTTTTGAAGCAATATGGTTTTCCTTTTTAGTGCAATAACCGCTGTTCGTATTATGCGCCAATACCACCTTAATTGAAGCAAATTCTAAAACATTATTGCGATGGTACCAGATCCCAACCAGGACTGCAAGGATGCATCCATCTGCCTCACCATTGTGCTTTTGGCATTGTGGTCAAGTGGGTTCGATGTTCCACGTTTGGTGGCGATGTCCGATAGCAACTAGATTTTGGATCTTTATTTTTAACCTTATCTACATGGTGATGAGGGTGAATGTTCGCAGGAGCCCAGAGACGGCTCTCTCTTTCATAAATTTCCAATTACAGTGCCCAAAAAATCCCTTAAGTTACTTACTTATATGCTGTCAACAGCAAGAATCACTATAGCTAAATACTGGAAAAGATCAATTATCCCGCTTTAATATGTTAAGATCAAATTGAATCATGGTTAATGACAGGCTCACCTGTATTCTACACAATACTGACAAATCTGATAAAACATGGGACCCATGGATTCATTACATTTCAGTGCCTTGATATTTCCCGATTCGACTCACTTATCTCCCACTCATTTCTTTTTCTTACTTTTTACTGTCCCATTTTTTTTCCTTCGGTTTTGGGGCTCATTGAGCCTCCTCTTTACTCGTTCTGCAACATCTGTCATGTCTTCTGCAACGTTCGTTCTGTGTGATTCACAGGGCTACAGCCACTGCCTTTTATATATCTTGTGGACTTATTGTTGGGAATTTTCCATTTGCCCTACTCAGTTGTTTTTGAACAAACGCTTTAGTTTTCTAAGGTAGGTCATATGACGTCCTCCCATTCTCACCGCGCATGCGCAGCTTCGGGAGTGCGCAGATCAGCGGTGCGCTGTGTCCCTCGAACTGATCACCGATCCATGGAAAGAGCCAAAGACGTCGGCTCGGTCATGTGATCAGCTGTGTCCAATCACAGCTGATCACATGTAAACAGAGAAATGCCGGTTATCGGCATTTCTTTCCTCTCGAGCGGTCACGCTGACAGCTCGAGAGGAGAGCTGGAAACCAGCATTCCGCGCGGAGGGGACATGTACACTGATCATTAGGGCACTGATGATCAGTGTGCCCTGATGATCAGTGTAGCCCCAGAAGTGCCACCTGTCAGTGTCCATCAGTGCCAGCTGTCAGTGCTGAACAGTGCCACGTGCCAGTGCCCATCAGTGCACATCAATGCCACATATCAGTGCCCATCTGAGCTGCCTTTCAGTGTCACCCATCAATGCCAATCAGTGCCACCTATCAGTGCCACCTATCAGTGCTGCCAATCAGTGCCACCTATCAGTGTGCGCATCAGTGCCACCTAAGAGTGCCAGTCAGTGCCGCCAATCAGTGCCATATATCAGTGCTGCCTGTCAATGCCCATCAGTGCCACCTACCAGTGCCTCCTCATCAGTGCCAATCAGTGCCACCTATTAGTGTCCATCAGTGCAGCCTCATTAGCGCACATCAGTGAAGGAGAAAAATCACTTATTTACCAGATTTTATAACAAAAACTAAGAAAAATGTTTTCAAAATTTTCAGCGGTTTTTGGTTTAAGAAAAAATAAAAAACCCAGAGGTGATTAAATACCACCAAAATCAAGCTCGGTCACAAAAAAATGATAAAAATTTCACATGGGTACAGTGTTGCATGACCGCCAATTGTCATTCAAAGTGTGACAGCGCTGAGAGCTGGAAACTGGCCTGGGCAGGAGGGGGGTAAAGGTGCCCTGTAGGCTAGCGGTTAAAAAAACTCCTTCTATAAGAGATAAAAATACATGTAGCCTATATAATCTACGAACCACTCCCAAGGTCTCTTTGAGAGGCATTTTTCAATGCGGCCAATGTTCATTTTGTCCTTGGATACAATGTGGTACGCGTTTCGAGTTACCTAATGAGGAGTCATTTAACTCACGCTTTCATGCGAATTGTGACACCCAGGGGGTCATCTATCTTATGTTATGTTCATGTGGGGTGTTTTATGTTGGGAAAAAAAGTTCACCAGCTTAGACAAAGAATCAAGGATCATAAATACTACTCCAGTAATGGCAAAATTCTGACCCCAGTCAGTAGACATTTAGGCCTTTATCACAAATTTGATACCTCACAGATAAGGTTTTTGGCTTTGCATGTTGTGCCCAAGGACCCATGAGGTGGGAACTGGGACAAAAGAATACTCCAAAAAGAAACATTGTGGATTGAACGCCTCAAAGCCACCTACATGCACTGGCATTAAATATTGTCATATAAGCCGTTTCTGTAAAAATTAGGTATCAAATAAACATGCAGTAGTATATTAGGATCTTTTCTTAACCTCTCCACGCCGGCTGAACACAAATGTGCAGCCTCCCGGCGTCTGGGCCTAGACGCCGAGCGGCCGCACATTTGCGTTCTATTAAAAAAAACACATCTGTGCTGAGAGCGAGCGCCCAGCATACATATGTCCGGTACTCACAGAAAAGGTCCCGATCTCCTCTTTCGATTGGGACCTTTCCCGATCATGTGACCGCCATGACATGGCGGTCACATGACCCTAAACCCCGCCCGCCTCCTGAAACCCTTAAAGGGCCGGGAGGCGCCGCTGCGAAGGGGTTAAAATGGTTATATAAACAGCAAATGTCAACTTAATCACCCTACATTGTTTGGCACTTCTTATGAACGTTGGGTATGTAATATTATATTGTAGTGAATACACGTGTTGAACAAACCTAAGCCAGATATATAATCAAATGTATTTACATCCTAAAAAAATACCTATTTAAATGCCTGGCTTTTTTTTTGCAATTGTAATTGTATTTTATGTAAGTGATTGTCTACCGGGGGGAACTTTTGTGTTTTGGGTGAGTTCCATGTCCAGACATGCAGCCGTGGGGGGCGTGTTGCATGGCTGACGGGTGTACATGTGCGTTTACAGAGGGCTCTTGGTTCCCCCTCTGCCATGCTTTGCGGCCCCTTCAGGAGGGTTGGGAGAGACTCCCCTTCCCCCAACCTCGACTGCAGGATTCGGCTCTAGGCCGGTCCCTCTGTGCATGTGCTGTCTTCCCAGTTCAGTTGATGACTCTGGGGGAAATCGTCTTTCCAGCGCGCTTGCGCAGTCTTCTAGGCCGGATCATGTGATGTCACACACCGCCGACATGCAGCGTGCGCGTCCAGATCGGGGGGTATTTAGAGTTAGGCAGTGTGACTCTGTTCTTGTAACCACAGTTGTGGGTTGATCACCATAGGAGAATCCCAGTGCGTCATTAGGATTCCAGGTAATGGATAAGGCTATATTACCTCAGATCAATATCTCTCTTCATTCCTTTTCTTTGGGGGCCATATCCTATTGTTTATGGGGGCCGACCAAATTACAAGGGAAGGAGATTGATCATTTGTATTTTGCTCTTTACAGTGCTACCTGCAGTGGGAGGCGAAGGGTGCACAGGCCTGTAGGCTTACCAGCATTCACTGTATGTGGATGGGGAGTATATGGTCTGTATTATTGACCAAGTGGGGACCCCGCAGTCACTTTTGTGGTTTGACCATCACAGGAGGATATAGTGCACCATTAGAATTCCAGGTAATAGAGAAGGTTACAATAGTTCTGACCAACATCTCGTCGTCTTCTTTTTTCTCCTTTCCTTTATTTGGGGGCCAAGATCCTATCGTTTATAGGGGCAGACTAGAATATTAGGTAAGGAGATTGATTGATTATCTGTTGCTCCTTACAGTGCTACCCGTGCCGGGAGGCAAAGGGTATATGGGCCTGTAGGCCTTCCTAGTGTCCATTGCGTTTGGCTGGGATTGGACAGTCTGCACCAACCGACCGAGTTGGACTACATCATTGAAGACCAGATATTTTGAATGTCCACACAAAGTGGAATCTGCATTGTTGTTAACCAGATTTATATATTTTTCAAGGTACTTGTCTTCATTTAATTATTTTTAAAAACCTTTTCCATGAAAGACATGGTTCCTATAGGAGTATGGATTGAAGGTCAACTAATTAATAAACAAATAATTTCTGAACTATAAGACCTAGTGAATATTATAATATTTGAGGGGCTCCTGTAGTGACCTGCAGCAACACTTTAAAAGCAAGCCTGGGACCTTTCCTTACCGGCATATATGAGGTCTAGCAAATTTATTTGAACATTTCTGGGCCTTTTCCATTGAAGGCAATATAACTTGGCCCTGAATTATGCTTTCATTTCTACATTCAGTTTTATGTCAATCCAAAATTGTAACCAGGGTCTCAGACAGTATAATTGTATTGCTCTTAAACACCACAGTAAAATCTGGTAGCTGCAAGAATTGCATTTGCGGTATACATACAGCCGCAGCTTTTGTAGTTCATGCCACATTCGTACAAAACATGTGCATAATACTTATATGATATTTACCCATTGAAAGTGCTTAAGTTACTGAAGCCCACCGCAAGGTCAGTGACTGGTGTTAATGGCTGCTCTGGAGAAAATACAACAGATGCATCTCTGTCCCTCAGTAGATTTAGTACCATTCGACAATTTGTGCGGAAATTAAGGCCAGTAGACTTCGAGTAACTGTCTGATGAAAAAGAGTGTCCATCTGCCATGGCTTTACGATTCTTCACCACTTGTGTGGAACCTGGAGAGCAGTTGCTGAAGGACAGATGAAAGAAGTTTAAGTTTACAAATTAACACTTTAATTCTTACACTGGAAATGCAATAAAAAAAAAAAAAAAAAAAAACACTGCTAGCCATTTACTTTACAAGCTGACTGCCCTATGTATTATGAGGACCTGCTGAAACAATTCATTCAGGCCCTGCAATACATAATTAGTTTGTGGAACTAATGGAGAAAGTAAAAATCTGGTTGAGACATGTAAAGCTTAAACATTTTTTTTGTAAAGTATATTGGGAAAAGATTAGCACCCAAACCAGTTTTTCATTTCTGCCCCTGACTGGAAAGTTCCCCTTACTTCTTGTTTCAATTATAATTTTGTCATTGTGACAGGAGGCACAGTGGGTACATTGTGTACAATGGGTACATGGCAGGAAATTGTTAGGTGAAAATCCAGCAGGGAAAAAAAAAAAAAAAAAAAAAAAAAAATAGGATTTCTGTCTTACTGTACATGTAAAGTAGTTTCCAGTAGAACATTACAGGATCAAAGGATGGAATATTCTGAAAATCCAGGAACCAACTGGTTATGCTGCTTTCTTCAGGAGATTGGATACTGCCAAAAAAAAAAAACTGTAGGGACAGCCCAATATAATTCCTCCCATACCCAGCATGCCTCAGTTTGGTTAGCAAGCAATAACAAAAGTGGATCATAAGAAAAAAAGGGGAGGAACCTGTGTTCTGTAATGTTCTCTAAAAAGGAAGGATGGAGTATTTAGGAACCAATGGGGTGTACAACATAGCAAACAAAAGGCTAACAGGACTAAAATAAAAACCAACAGGTTAACAGATAGATGGCTCAGCAGAACCACCCGACTATCCATAGGACCAAAGCTGGCATCAGCTAAGGCCTGAACCTGGTAAAACTTAATGTAGTGTGAACAGAAACTCAAGGGGCTGCCTTCCAAATCTGAGAAGCAGATATCTGATGTAGAAAAACCCAAGAAGCACTAACTGATTTGGTAGAGCATGCCTTGACAAAGAGCAGCTTCTAAACCAGTGGAAAAAAGGGTTTTCTCAATTCCAGCACAGAATTTGTGACCCACCAAGCCAGGGCAAGCCTGGTCCTTCTGGTCAAGCATATGGGACAATCCAGAGACTGCACCCTGTTGATAAGCAACAGTCTTGAGTAAAATTGGGTATACAGAACTGCCTTGAAGGAGGACACCATTAAGGGTATGACCCTAATGCAAGAAAAAAAAAATATATCAAGGGTCAATTGGTCATGGACTGGAGACTCTGAGGTTTGCCCAGGGGAAGGAAAACCTTGGACGGGCCCATTTTGAAGAACAGACCCAAATACTCAAGTGATAAGATGGTTCCAGCATGGTCCCCCTGAAAGGACATATGTCAGAGACTCTTCACGCACCAGTGGTCTGCAGACCAACATTTGAGTCTAAAAGTTGGCCTGATAGGTGTCAAAAGGAGACTCTGACATAATTTATCCACAGACCCATCAACACAAAGCAGGGAAAATTGTCAAAGATCAAAAAGGATCAGCCAGGATAAAAAACAGGATCCTGAGACATGACCTCAGACCAGACAGCTAAGGTCTAACAAATGGAAATAGTTAGAAAAGGCAAAAAGCAGAGCAGGGCTTGCAAGGGAGAGTAGGACCTTGAAAAGGGCTTCTAGCCTTTTGTCCAAATGGTCTTTAAACGTGGGATATCCTCAGCAGGTACAGTCAGAATCA